TCTGATGCTGCTTGGCCTGCTGTGTTCATCCAGCTATACACGTTGTTTATTTTAATGTACTTCTGGCCAGACCTGGACTCTAAATGTGAGGTCTTCCAAGACACTGTTTCCTAATTCACAGCCAGACTCTTATCACATTCCCTCATCAGATCTGTGCTCACCCACCTCCACTGGCTAAGTTAAAGTCATACTTAAATTTTAAAATTCTCCTTCTTGCTTTGAAAAGGACTCCCTCCTCCACTTAACCAAAGGCTGTGGGTCTGGAGCAGATATATGAGTTAGGGAAGGTTGAGGCTATCTTCACTTTTCCAACTGTGACATTGAGTGTCCCCAATAGGAAACACAGGTGTGGAGTGGCCACAAACAGGTGTGGGGAGAGGTAAGGGAAAAAAAAAGTAGTGTCCAAGGTGGGGATCCTCTAGCAATTATTGCAATGGGTCAATGTGAAATTTACTTTTAAACAAAATTGGGCTCTTCACTTTAAACACCAAGAGTCTTGCAATGGGAGGTGAGCAAGTGGTGCAGCAGTATTGTCATTGGACTAGTAACCAAGAGACTCAAGGTTAATAGGGGAAACAGGGAGTAGGAGGAGGTCAGTTGCCGGAACAAGTCTCCTCCAATGAATCATGGTTGATCTGTTAGCTTTGAATTACACATTCCTACTTGTATTGCTGCATTTAGAAGTGGACTGCTTCAGTATCTGGAGGAGTCACAAATGTGCATTGCTCAGCACCAATCGCCGATGAACATCCCCACCTCTGACCTTACGATGGAAGGAAGGTCATTGAAGAAGCATCTGAAGATGGCTGGGCCTAGGACACTACCCTGGGGAACTCCTGAAGAGATGTCATAGACCCAAGATGACTGACCAACAACCACAACCATCTTTGTGTCAGGTATGTCTCCAATCAGTGGAAAGATTCCTCCCAGACTCCCACTGATCCTGGTCTTGCTAGGACTCCTTGATGTTACACTTGGTCGAATGCAGCCCTTTGTCCATGTTTCAACTAAAGGCTGTAATAAGGTCAGGAGCTTAGTGGCCCTGGTGGGACCCAAATGTGGTGTCGTTGTGTACAGTATTGCTGAGCAAGTGTTACTTGATAGCACTGTTGATGACACTTGCCATCACCGGGGAGGCAGTGGTGTGGTGGCAATGTCTTGGGACTAGTCATCTACATACCTGGGTTAATTTTCAGAGGACATGGTTCAAATCCCACTATGACAGATGGTGAAAATCTGAATTCATTGAAAATCTGGCATAAGCCAGTCCGATGACAACTAGAAAGCCACTGTCAAATGTTGTAAAAACCCATTTGGTTCACTAACATCCTTTAGGAAGGAAAGGCCATCCTTATTTAGTCTGGCCTACATGTGACTCCAAAATAAAAATGGGGGTGACTCAGAGTTGCTCTGGCTAATTAGGATAGGCGATAAATGCTGAACCCAGCCAGCAATACCCACATCTGGTGAATGAATTAAAAGAAAGCTCTATTGATGATAGAGAATAGACTAATGGGGCAGTAATTGGCCAGTTTGGATTTGTCCTTTTTAGTGTGTATGGGGCTTACCTGGAAAATTTTCCACATCAGCAATGTTGTGGATAAATCATGTCCCTCACCTGAATTTAACTAATTCAGGTGTCAACTACTGTTGAAATACCGCCCTCCCGTCATAGGAAATATCAGTGTGTACTCCATACACAGGTCATCCAACAGTCATTGGGAATGACTAGGAAGAGATCTGTCAGTAGAAGACACTTCTGCAGTTACAAGTCTAACACAAGGAGTAAATATTGGAGATAGCATCAACAGAAGTTGAGGGAACTGAAGAAATTCTTCAACTGTTTATTTCATTCAAAATCCAAATAAAAACATTAAACTTTAATACAGTGACTCATGAGCTGTCAGATTAAAATTTTTCATCCAGGAGTAACAGGTTTTAATCCTGTTAAAGCTAACATTTCAGGTTTTTCAAAATGTGAAGTCTAAAAAGCAAGAATCTTCCACAGGTGGAATTTTGAATGTGAACTGGTGACAACTCCAGATTCTGGGCATCAGAAACTCTCGACTTTCATCCAAACAACAGCATACGTGGATTACTTGGGATCAGCTTTTAGGCCGGAATCTCACTTCCCAGAAAAAGGGAAAAGCAGCTGATTTGGGTTGGTTGATGTTTCTGTTGTTTAAGCCAGGATTTGCAGTTGGAGGAGCGAGTTAGAAGTCAGATTGTGCAACAAAGATAGGCTTGAAGAAGTCTGATGAATTAACTGTTGCGAATTAGACAGGCTGCAAAAGCCCCAGGCAAATGTTTAAAAGGAGCTGGCCGAGTCCATTGCTTGGATTTTAAATGAAGCATCACTAAACGATGAGCGTGAAGCAGTGATGATCAGAATGAGGTCTCATTCATTCGGGGTCTGTTGGCAGTTGCTGACTCCATGGTTGGACTGAGGGGACTGGTTACTGACAACCCAGGCTCCACAGAGGGAATTGATGGCACATTGGGAGGGACAGTTCTGATAGATTGTGTCGGACTGGGCGACACAGCTTTTAGTCCCTGTACTGAACCAGATTGACCCAGGGTTCTATTCCTGTTCAATAATCTGTCAGACTCATGGCTAAAACGGCGGAGATCCATAGATCCATGGAGTTCAGTGCAACGTACTAACTCTTGGCATCGCTCAACAAAGCTTCCTCTGTGCCCTGTCCTGCCATCCCCTTCTGCTGTGGCATTTTCACCACTCGGACTTTCCGCTCGGATGCAGGAGCTGTGTAATCTCACTTGCCTGGGGCTTCCACTGGAAACATCACCTTTATCCAGAGAGGTCCGGCTTGCAACATACGACTGCAGACTGCACACACTGGAAAACCGTTCCTGCTGCCTGAGCACCATGGGGCTGTCTCTTCGAATGCTCTCTGTCCCACTCCGCACCAACCTCTCACGGAATCCATCGACAGTCTGAAACTGGCTGTTTCAACAGAAAAAAGGAGAGAATTGCACCAAAACAGTTTCCACTGGAAGACAAAGCAGCATGATCCTATCACCACTAAACAGCACCACGTTTCTTGGAGATTATGTCCTTATGATAACACCCTCACTTCCTGCTATACCTTGTTCCCAATATTCTGGGAATAAAAACAGCTCATTCGTTCATTCAAATTAAAGCCTGAAGGCAGATTCAGACTCTTTCTTGTGCACAGGAATCAGATCGAGACTACAGTCACGTTCAGCTAAAAGTGGTCAAACCTATTCCCTTCACCACCAGCTGCATAATATTTATATCTCTGATTGACGTACAAATATCAGTCTCAGACACTAACTTTCCACACTATCTTTCATGGAATTACCTTGATGAGGCCCGCAGCATGCTAGGATGAGCCAATGATTCTGCAGGACTCATGTCTGGTGTTCGGGACAATGCAATATCACACTGTTCCAGATGTCGCAGGAGCTCTTGTTCTGTGGGACCCCCAGAGTCTAGCAAGAGAAATATAGAAAATCCTTATTCATTCTCCTTACCTCACCCTTGCCTTAATTCGTGAATTTCCCGTGCGAGCCAAGTATCAGCTGATCAATTGCAGTTGACATCACATCCAACCACAATTGCATTCTCACTGACAGCAAGTGTGGCAGCCAATGAATAGAGAGTTAAACCAGCTTCAGTTCATCCCATTCAGGTAAATTGTTACCACCAAACAGAACAACTATTTAAAAGGCATCCAGATGGGTATATGAATAGGAAGGGTTGAGGGGGATATGGGCCAAATGGGATCAGATTTAGCTAGGATATCTGGTTGGCATGGAAGAGTTGGACTGAAGGGTTCGTTTCCATGCTGTACACTATTATGACTGTTTCTGGTCCAGTCAATCAGGAGCCCTAACACCCTTCAACTCTACGTCCTGATCCCTGCTCTCTCAAGCCCCAACTTCCACCCCCAAACCAAAGTGCCACTCTGGAGGTGGAGGGCAAGACTAGCTGGGGGATGGGTGGAGTGGTCTGTTTCTTGTGCTTGGTTGTTCAACGTGCTGATCACGCAAAGATAGACAGGAAAGTAAGTTGTGAAGCGGACAGAAGAAAGTTAAGGGATACAGATAGGTTAAGTGAGGGGGCAAAGAATTGGCAAAAATGGAGCAAAATGTGGGTAAGTGTGAAGCTGTCCATTTTGACTGAAAAAGAATAAAAACTAGATTTTAAATGGAGAGATTGCAAAGCTCTGAGTTCCGAGATCTGGGTATCATAGTGAATGAATTGTAAGTAATCAAGTTAGCTAAAAGAATGGTTATCCTTTATTGTGAGCAGAATTGAATGTAAACGTAGGGAGGGTATGCTTCAGTTATACAGATCGTTGGGGAGACCACATCTGGAGCACTGTGCACAGTACAGGCAAATTTAAAAAGAATGTAAATGTATCGCAGGCAGTTCAGAGAAGGTTCCAGATCGATGCCAGGAATAGCATTAGAAGAATGAGAAGTGACATTATTGAAACATATAAAAGATCTCAACAGGGCAGAGGCAGGAAGGTTGTTTCCCCTTGTGGGAGAGCCTAGGACCAAAGAGCATCATTTCAGAATAATGTGTCAGTCCCTGAAGACAAAGATGAGGAGGATCCTCTGTGAATCAGTGGAATTCTTTACTGCAGAGGGCTGTCAAGGCTGGGTCGTTAAGTATTTTCAAGGCTGAGTGAGACAGATTTTTAATCAGGAAGTGAACTGAGGGTTAATGGAGAACAGGCAGGAAAGCGAAGTGGAGGACGATCAGATCAGCCATGATCTCATTGAATGGGTTAGGAGATTCGATGGGCTGAATGGCCTACTTCTGCTTCAATGTCTTATAGGCAGATAGCCTGATGAGGAACAGGTTGGACAGACTCATCTTGTATCCACCGGCGCTTAGGAGAGTAAAAGGGGTCTGGATTGAAACATAAAAATGTCCAATGTGGTCTTGATGGGGAAGGGTGGGTGGTTTAAAACGGATGTGTGTAAAATGTTTTTCTCTCAGAGTTAGGAGACTTTAGCTCTGCTTCTACCAGCTTTTCAGGTACAGAGTCCTTGGATTTTTTTTTAACATGGCAGTGGAGAGATTCTGGTTAAGCAATGGGGCTGAAAGGTTATTGGAACAGACTCTGATGTGGAGTAAATCAGATCAGCCATAATTTCACTGAGTGGTGTAGCAGGGTGAAGAGGCTGAGCGGCCTACTCTTGACCCTGACCCCTGATCCCTGATCCCCATTTCCCATCCCCCTCCCCCAACAGCCCACAGACCTCTCTGAGGTGTCTTGCCAGATGTCTCCATGGCGGTGGTAAGATCCCACATCTGGATGCTGCCATCAGTGTGTCCGGTGAAGAGGTAGCGACGGGCACGAGAGCTGATGCGGCTCGAACCCTCACATTCGTGCACAGTAAATGCAGTGATCGCGGTGCCATCCACAGAGGAGATCTCACAGATCCTGTGGGCAAGAAACCCCAGGTGGGGGGTGGGGGTGTGGTGGTGACAGGGAAAATGGGGTTGGGGAGGAGGAGTGGAGAGGATGAACAGAGAGACAAAACGAGCTTGACCTTTTTTCTTAGGATTTCTCCTCCCCATCATTTTCCGACATTCTTATTTGATCCTCAATCTCAATTGGTCAGAGTAGCACGAGCAGCTGGAGACTCCAAATGTTGAACTGGGACAGGCATCCACAACTGGCCTTGACCTCACTTTGGAGGTTAGTGATTGGTCCACAGGCTGTTAGGTCTGCCTTTCACAAACTTGGATTGTGTTTATCATGTTGTGCCAGTATCCCCAACTCATGGGAATCCTTTTGAAATGTTGGCACTGCTGTTGTGGAAAACACTGCAGCAGATTCACGCACAGCAGGATCCCACAAACAGCAGTGTCACAATGGCGATGGTAACTGACCAGGACTCCTGGGAAAACTCACTGGCTTTTCCTCAAAAGATCACATGCCACTATTTTAGGTCCAATAGCAAGGGGCCTCTGTTTAATGTGTAACCGGAACAATAACATCTCACTGTCAAAATGCTCCAAATCCCACCCTCTCACACTAAAGCTCCTCACCACTGAGGCAGGAAATGGAAACACCTCTTCCTATATGAAACATACTTCAGCTACAGACCCACCACTGTCCACACACACACCACCCCACTCCCCCCAACACATACATCCATCCCCATCCCTAACCAAAGTCACGTCCAGTAATGACATTTCTAACATTTACAGTCAACTCCACAACAAGATGAAAATTGAAAACTCTTCCTGTCTCTTAACTCACACCAATTCCTCTTCACTTGTCACCTCTAAGCTCACGAAAGATAATAGAACAGCGTGATTTTAAAATTTTCAGTCACATTTGCAAATATCTCCACAATCTCAACCCTCCATATCTGTCACCTCCTCCAGTCACCAAGCCCCTCTCTAACCACCTCCTTTAATTCTTGCCTGTTGAAAACTGCCCCTTTTAAAATTCCTTCCAAAACAGACTGTACCTGCAGCTGCCTGGGCCCAGAATTTTTATAATTCTCCACCAGTTTCTTCTTTCAGACACTTATTAAAAATTGACCTCTGTGCATGTTCTGAAAAGTACTTTTCCGTTACCTCTTGCCTGTTGAGGATAGTCGCACAAAGAGCTGATTCGTGTCAGGAACAACTTTCTGAATGAAAACCTGTTCATCATCTCGTTCCCCAAACGGGCCTGTAAGAGGAGGGGTGGTGGTGGTGGTGGTGATGAGAACATTACAACACAACAGAAAGTTAGTTGCTGCAATTATGACCAGGAAAATGACTGGGTTTCCATAAAATCCATTTGGGTTTCAGGGAAGGAAAGCTGTCATTTTGACATGTTCTGACCTCCACATGACTGCAGGCCCACAGCAATATGGTTGGCTCTTGGTCGCCCTCAGAAATAGTCCAGAGGGCCTCTCCTTGGTACCATATTGCTATAGAAAAGTTTAAAGGGACCAACCTAGATGGAACACTCACTATTGACCGGGTTCAAGGAATGTCACGTGCACTCTCTGCCTTCTTGACTCTGAGAAGTCATTCTAACTAACATCCGAGAATTGGGAGAAGTGGAGAGCTGTCCCTCAGACTCGGCTAGCAACAGCCTCAGGATGTAATTCACAGACACCTACACCACTGTATGGCTGCCATGAGCTGAGCATTTAACTCAGTTTCTCTCTCCCCACACAGGCTGGCAGACCTGTTGAGTATTTTGTTCATTTTCTTTTTAGTATTCCAGCATCTGAAGTAATTTTGTTTTTGTATCACCAACACCATCCCTGGATATTTCCAGTCTCACCAGCAGCACAGTGGTATACAGTTGGGAGGGAGCTGCCCTACAGTTCCTCAACATTGACTCTGGACCCCATGAAGTCTTATGACTTCAGGTTAAATATAGGCAAGGAAACCTCCTGCATTATCACATACTGTCCTCCCTCCATTGATGAATCAGTAATCCTCCTTGTTGAAGATCAATTGGAAAAGGTATCAAGGACACATCATATGTGTCCATCACCTGCAGTGTCTCAGTAATATCACTTCTGACTGAGCAGATCGGCTGCTAGGCTAGCTTAGAAAGAAAACCAAATGAGGGATAAACCATTTTATATTTTCTAGCTGCATCCGAGAAAGAGACACAGGCAGGTTACATACTCTGGGAGATCAGAGAGAAACCCTCACTCCTGTTTCACCTGATACCCAGAGACTCTGCAGCACCCAGACTCAGCCCTGCACACCCATAACGGTCTTTATGCCTCTTACCAATTTCCAATCCCACTGAACATCCTCCATGACCATCTAAATCTTCCAGGGAAAGGACTTTAAATGATGCCAGTGGAGTTGAGCCAGGCTGTGTGGAGATCATGCCACGGAATCTGGTCACAGTCCATGTCCGTACGTGGTTACTATCTGCACAGACTAAAATAAAAAAAAACACATCTTACCACTTCCTGCCTTTCAGACAAATTGATCACATGCCTCATGAGCTCCATACTATTCAGCTGAAGGAGGCTTCACAAATTTAGCCTCATCCTAACGCCAGTCCCTATACAGACACAGGTATTTGACATGTTGGGAGGGGACTGGGGCCAGGGAAGGGCATGAATCCATGGATTGGCCCTGGGTATCACATGGGATTCAGGGAGAGCTTGCCAATTGGATACAAACTTGGCTTGACGGAGGGTGGTGGTGACGGAAGACTGGAGGCCTGTCACCAGCAGTGTTCCACAGGAACTGGTACGGAGTTCACTTTTGTTTTCATAAAAATGATTTCGATGAGAATATAGAAAGCACAGGTAGTAAGTTTGAGGATGACACCAAAACTGGTGGTATAGTGGACAGTGAAGAAGGTTATCTAAGATTATAAAAAGATCTTGATCAATTGGGTCAATGGGCTAAGGAGTGGCAGGTGGAGTTTAATTTGGAATGAGAGGCGCTGCATTCGGTAAAACAAAAAAAAAGGGCAGGACTTATACAAAAGTAGGGCTTTGGGTAGTGCTGTACAACAGAGACCCCTAGGGGTTCAGGTACATAATTCTTTGAAGTTTGCGTCACATGTATTCAGGATGGTTAAGAAGGTGTTTAGCATGCTTCCCTTTATTGCTCAGACCTTTAAATATAGGAGTTGGGAAGTCATGTTGAAGATGTGCAGAATATTGGGGAGGCCTCTTCTGGAGTACTGTGCGCAGTTCTGGTCACCCTATTATAGGAAAGATATTAAATTGGTGGGGGTTCAGAACAGATTTACCAGCATGTTGACAATAACATTGGGTTTGAGTTAGGGGGAAGAGGCTGGATAGGCTGGTACTTCTTCCACTGGTGCGTCAGAGATTAAAGGCTGACCTTATACACGTTTATAAAATCATGATGGGTATAAATAAGGTGAAAAGCAGGTGTCTTTTCCCTAGGGCAGAGGATTTCAAGAATAGAGGAGTAAGATTTAAAAAGACTTGAGGGGCAACATTTGTTTTTAAAAAGAGTGGTTCAGGTGTGGAATGAATGTCCAGACAAACTGGTAGGTGCGGGTATAGTTAACGTGTTTGACAGACATTTAGATAAGTACATGAATAATAAGTGTTTGGAGGGATATAGGCCAAACGCAAGTAAATGATACTAGTTTGGGATTATGGTTTGCATTAGGGCTGGGGTTAGGGTTGGAATAAGGAGTCTGTTTCCAGGCTGTATGAATTAAGGAATGGGCCTGACTAGAGGACAGGAGTAACTGATGAGCAGTCGTTCTGGAAACAGTAATGAGAAGGGTTGTAAGGTCTCCTACCTGAGATGAGGTTTTTCTCAGAGAGTTTGATCTTTGTGATTGGGCTGCGATGTACACTGAATGTCTGAAAGAGCTGTGGGCCAGACCCCACTGTCTCGGGATGCTGTACAATCACACGGACCATTCCGGAACTTGTTCCGTATGCAATCTCAATCCAGTTCCCGCTGTCACCTAGGACAAATGATGCAAAACACTGATTGAAGTTCTAATTGTTAGACCTTGGACAGCCAGGCACTGAAGGCTATAACCCTAGAACAAGTCTTTGTACATCATCACTTACTGACGTTACATTTTATGTACTTCTAATCAACAGGCCTACCTTCAGTCATTGACTGTTTTAAAACAAGGTATTGCACAAATGATAACTTGCTCACTGATGCCCACTTAGTTGCAGGTCGGTTGTTTCAGCTCCAGAACATCTATGCAGGAGCTCCTCAGGGTAGTGTCCCAAGCTCAAACATCTTCAGCTGCTTCAATAATCTTCCCTTCATCATAAAAAGGTCAAAAGTAGGGATGCTCACTGATAACTGCACAACTCACAATTCAAAGAACAAAGAACAGCACAAGCCCTTTGGCTCACTGACACACAATGCCTTTCTAAACTAAAAACCTTTTGCTCTCTGTGGTCCATATTTCTCTATTCCCTACCTATTTGTGTATCTGTCAAGATGCCTCTTCAACGTTGCTATTGTATCTGCTTCTATCACCTGCTCTGGTACTGCATTTCAGGCACTTGCCAACTTTTGTGTAAAAGCCTTCTTCTTGCACCTCCTTTAAAGTTACCTCCTTTTACCTTAAACCTACGTCCATTAGTAATTGAATTTCAACTCAAGAAAAAGATTCCGACTATCCAAGCCCCTCAGTTTTGTAACATTCTATCAGGTCGCCTCTCAGCCTCCAAAATTCAAGTGAAACAATCCAGGTTTATCCAATCTCTCCTCATAACTAATACCTTCCAAACTAGGAAACATTCTGCAAACCAGTTTCTGTACCCAAAACCTCCACATCCTTCTGGTAGTGTGGAGACCAGACCTGTACATAATATTCCAAATGTGGCCAAACTAAAAAATTCTATACAGTTGCAACATGACTTGCCAATTTTTATACTTTATGCTCAGACCGATGAAGGCAAGCATGCCCCACACCTTCTTGACCACCTTATCCACTTGTGTTGCCACTTTCAGGGAATTGTGGACCTGTACAGCTAGATCCCTTTGTATGTTGATGCTAAGGGTTCTGCCATTTACTGTATACTTCCCTCCTGCATTAGATCTTCCAAAATACATCACCTAGCATTTGTCTGGATTAAATTCCATCTACCATTCTTCCACCCAAGTTTCCAGCCTATATCCTGCTGTATCCTCTGACAATCCTCCAATCTGTGTTGGGCACAGACTTGCTTATCAAGCCACCTACATTCTCTCCCAAATCACTTATTTATTACAGACAACAGAACTCCCAGTACTGACCCCTGTGGAGAATCACTAGTCACAGATCTCCAGTCAGAAAAACACCATTCTAACTGCTACTCTAGGACTAAGCCAGTTCTGTATCTATCTTACTAGCTCAGAGGATTCCATGTGACTTCACTTCTGTATCAGCCTGCCATGAGGGACTTTGACAAAGGACAACTCATGAAGTGAAACAGTCCATATTCAAATGCAGCAAGATCTGGATAATTCTTTAAGTTTCCACTGACAATTGGCAAGTAACATTCATGCCACACAAGAGCCAGGCAGTGACCATCAACAAGAGAGAATCTAACATCTATCTCTTGACATTCAGAGGCATTACCATCACTGGATTCCCCCATAAACAACACCTTGGGGATTACCATTGACCAGATACTGAACTGGATGACCCACAAGATACTGTGGTTCCAAAAGTAGGTCAGATACTAGGGAGTTCTGCAACAAGTAACTCACCTGACTCCCCAAAATCTGTCCACCAATCGACAAGGCACAAGTCAGGAGTTTGATGGAATACTCCCCACTTGCCTGGATGATTGCAGCTCCAACAACATCCAGGACAAAGCAGCCCCCGCTTGATTGTCACCACATCCAAACATCCACTCCCTCCACCACTGCCACTCAGTAGTGGCAGTGTGTACTGTCTACAAGATGAACTGCAGAAATTCAAAGATCCTTAGACAGAACCTTCCAAACCCATGATCACTTCCATCTAGAAGGACAAGGGCAGGAGATACAAGGGCAGGAGATACATGGGAACACCAACCCCCCCCCCCCCCCCCACCTCAACTGCGGTTCCCCTCAGAGCCACTCACCATCCTGACTTGGAATTATATCACTGTTCCTTCACTGCCGCTAGGTCAAAGTCCTGGAATTCTCTCCCTAACGGCATTGTGGATCTATCAATAGCACATGGATTGCAGCAGTTCAAGAAGCCAGTGAAATCCACATCCTTTGAATAAATCACAAAATACTAATACTAGCTAAAAACTCACATTTCCTTCTGTCCCACAGGGATGGTCAATTCATTCTCATCATCTCATCCATTCTGGCAGGATGCCTGAAAAATCACAGCAAACCAGGATGAAATGACTGGCTTGTGATTCATTGCTGTTTTCTACAGTGAAATATCCTGCTTTTGACAGAACAGCATCTTTGATCAACAGTCAACACTGCCACCAGTTGTTGATCAGACTTACTGCAATCACAGCATTCAGTGGAGAGGAATTAAAAAGACTTCAATTTACTGTTGATATCTACATTTAGTCAGATTGCAAAATCACCAGCAACGTCACATTGAAAGAAAGATCGGTCATTTGGGAAAACACAGCAAGGCATTTTGCACACTGCAAAATCTCAAACAGCAAAGAGATAGTTTATTTGTCGTAGTGATCTGAAATGAAAAGAATCTCAGCTCTTTAAACAGAGACTCTTCGATTAGGCAAGTAGTGTCCGAGTACAAGTCAGGGCCTCAGCCAGTTCCAGCTCGTTCTTGGTCACAAATCTACAAATCTGCTAAGGTGATCCAATCAAATTAAAATGGGAAATTTAGCCATTGTACTACAGCAGTCAAACAGCAATGAAGTGAACACTCACTGGTTTTGGGGGTGAGATATACACTGAGGGCTGTGATAGCATCTTCATAAGGATCACAGTAAAGCTCTGTGACAAGGAGGTCATTGTCCTTCATCCGCAATGGAAACTTCTGAACATCTGCAAACAAACATCACTCCAAAAAGTGAGAACACCAAAGCCTTGAAGGAAAAAAGTCACTGAAATCCTCTCAGAATATTTACAGCAAGGGATCATGCAACCCACAGTCTCTCTACTAGTAAAAAACCATCCAACTTTCTAGCTCTTGGCCTGTGGGCCCAGTCAGATGCAGCACATTGCGCATGAACTGGTTAAATAGGATAGAAATCATCAATCCCTATAGTGTGGAAGCAGGCCATTTGGCCCATTGAGCCCACACGGACCCACCCAGACCCAACCCCTACCCTACCCTACCCTACCCTGTAGCCCTGCCTTTTCCATGGCCAATTCACCCAACCTGAACATCTTTGGACTGAGGGCTTCTATCTTGATCAGCCTTTCAAGCAGAGTTTCAGAAACCCACTACTCACAATGACAGTTCTTTTTACATTCATCTAATCTAATCTAATTCTTCCACAAATTGCTTTAAATCTATGCCTTTGATTATTTGTCAGCCTGAAGGAAATCAGTCTCTGGCTATCAAAATTTTGTTCACCTCAACCGAACATCCCGAGCCTGTGATCCACAGACAACAACCCCAATCTGTCCAACCTTACCCACTCCCGGCAACATCCTTGTAAATCCCAAATCCCTCCATTGTTTGATGACATCCTTCCTGTAATGTCTGCCCCCCTGGTGGCTGAAGAGGGAATCAGCACTGCCAAGTTAAAATGGGTCACTTACCAATGTAATAAATTGATCCATTATTACATCCCAGGATCAACAAGGAGCCAGCTGTGTCGTAACTGTTTATTGGAACTACGTCCTGAATCTGTGGGTGAGATGAGAAGGAGTGAGGAGTGGAGTGAAGGGGAGACAGAGTTCTGAGAGGGAGGAATGGAATGGAGTCATTACCTGCCAGTGCTTGGTCACTGCATTCCAGACCCCAACTTTTCCAGTGTGGCTCGTTGCAATCAGCTGATTTCCCACAAAGAACAGAGCTTCCACAGGGACCCCCAGACTAAAGGTTCCTGCAAGAGAGGAATTGGGAAGGGTATGGGACGAGTTAAATGCGGAGGGTGGGCGCACCACAGAGAGACAAGGGGAGAGACACACAATGAAAATCAGTAATTCCATTTTGATGAACAAAGATCATTGAACTGAACCGAAGTATTACCAGCATGTTCAGACGAAGAAGAACGTCAGCCGAATACAAATCATACTTTTTTTTTTAAAAACTGTCGTCAACTGGTACATGTCCCACAGGCACCAACTCTCACCGGAATATTGGTCTCAAATCCTCAGTACCTGCCCAATTTACCCCTGATAGTGTTGAAGTTTGAACAGAGAGAGCCAATAAAACCAATTGGGTCTCACTTCACCCAGTGGCCACAGCACTGTCTGGAGGAGAAGCTGGTCAGTAATCAGCAGCAGGACATGAGCTAGTGTGGTTCAGTCTCTGATCTGAACGAGATCCTGCAGGTCCTTGGGTAACACTTAGAAATGTGGTGGTTTCAAAACTTCCAGTTTGCCGATTCCAGCCACCACCTCTTTACGATGGACGTGCAATCCCTTTACATGTCCATTCTCCACCAGGAGGGTCTTAGGGCTCTCAACTTCTTCCTGGAACAAAGACCTGAACCATCCCCAACCACCACCCTCCTCCGCTTGGCCGAGCTTGTCCTCACCCTCAACAACTCCTCTCATTTTCTTCAGGTAAGAGGGGTTGCCATGAGTACCCGCATGGGCCCTAGTTATGCCTGTCGCTTCATGGGGTAGGTGGAACATTCTTTGTTCCAGTCCTGTTCCAGCCCCCACCCACAACTCTTTCCCCAATACATCGATGCTGCTTCCCTCTCTCGTCTGGAATTAGACAACTTCATCAATTTCGCCTCCAATTTCCACCCTGCCCTCACTTTCACCTGTTCTATCTCGGACTCCTCCCTTCCTCGACATTTAAGGATAGACTGGCCACTAATATCCACTATAAACCTACTGACTCCCATAGCTACCTGAACCTCTCACCCCACTTCCTGTAAAGACTCCAACCCATTCTCAGTTCCTCTGTCTCCGTCGCATATGTTCAGATGAGGCCAACTTCAACAAGGGAGCCTCCAAAATGTCCACCTTCTTCCTCAACCAAGGATTCCCCAGCTCCGTTGTCGACAGAGCCCTCAACCAGGTCCGACCCATCTCCCGCACCTCCGCCCTCACCCCTTCTCTTCCCTCCCGCAACAGCGGCAGGGTTCCCCTTACCTTCACCTACCATCCCACCAGCATCCACAGCCAGAAGATCATCAGATGCCATTTCTGCCATCTCCAGCGAGACACCACCACCAGACACACATTCCCTTCCGCAGGGACCGTTCCCTCCGGGACACCCTGGTCCACACTTCCTTCACCCCCAACACCTCCCCACAGGCCTATGGCACCTTCCCCTGTAACCGAAGGTGCAACACCTGCCCACTTACCTACTCCCTCCTCAGTATCCAAGGGCTAAAACATACCTTCCAGGTGAAGCAACACTTCACCTGCACTTCCCACAATCTAGTCTACTGCATTCGCTGCTCACAATGTGGTCTCCTCTACTTTGGGGAAAACAAAGCGTAGACTTGGCAACTGCTTTGCAGAATATCTATGTTCTGCTCGCAAAAAAGACCCTGAACTACCTGTTGCTTACCACTTCAACGCATCACCCTGCTCCCTGGCCAACATCTCAGTCTCTGACTTGCTGCAGTGTTCCAGTGAAGCCCAATGCAAGCTGGAGGAACAACACCTCATTTTCCTCTTGGGGACCCTACAGCCCTCCAGACTCAATACCGAGTTCAATCATTTCAGGGCCTAAAGTCTCCCATGTCCCAGCCCCCTACCCCCAGCCCACACACCAGGCCTTGTTAAAACATAGCCTGCCACTACACACCCCTTGTTGTTAGTCATTAACAGTCCCCCTTTACAACTATTCACCCTCCCAGCCTGATCGTTAGCAACTGTCTGTCCAACTGTCTTTCTCTCTCTTTGGGCTCTATCCCATCGCTTACTCCCTACCCCACCTACCTTCCTGTTTTCTGCATATAAACTGACTTTTTCCCAGCCACCATCAGTTAAGGAAGGGTCACTGGACCTGAAACGTTAACTGTTTTCTCCTTCACAGACAGTGCCAGACTTGCTGAGCTTTTCCAGCAATTTTGTTTTTGTTCCTGATTTACAGCATCCGCAGTTCTTTCGGTTTTTAAACTTAGAAATGTGTGACGTACTTTGGTATGAACAACAAGGGGATGCAAGATAAAATAAACGGGACTGTTCTATACATACAGGAGTAAATCGACCTGGGTGGATAGGAGTTGTTAAAAAGGTGCCAAGACAGGCAGAGTGTGAATATTGTCATTAACGCAAACAGTACCCTAGGTTTTATGAATTGGGCAGAGTAAGAGAGTAGGGAGTGTATGATGAATTTGTACAAGACATTGGCTAGACCTCAGCTGGAGTATTATGACCAGCTGTGCACCATGCTATAGGAAGAATGTGAATATATCTGGTAGCCCTCTTCTGCACCTCAGAATTCTTCCATGGATTGAAAACTTCAATTATGAGGAATAAATGAAGAAGTTTGGAGCGTGTATTCCTTGGCAAGGGGAAGGCCAAGAAAAGATTTGATAGAGGCTTTCAAAATCCAAGGAGTCTGGACAAAGAAGTTGCTCCATGTAAATGAATGAAGGAGATGGCACAGTTTTGCAGCGGCGGGAGTCGGGAGAGAGTGTGAGGGGACTGCTGGGAAGGTGACCTTTTCATTTTAAAAGACTTACCTCGTGGAATCAGCGGCCTCCATTTTCGCAGCGGGAGCGGTGAGAGCAAGGACCGGGGGCTGCCGGGAAGGTAAGTTCTTCATTTCGGCAGCGGAGCTGATTGGGAGCGGTCGTATTGCGCTCTGGGATGTTGAGTGAACTGATATATTTGGGCAGTGGCTAAACTAGAGACACTACACGTGTAGTGTCTCCCACCCACCCTCCTCCAACCAAAAAAAAAGAGACTCTGGTGTGTTGCTAAGGTAAGGCTTTTCTTGTTTTTTTTTTAAAAAAAAAGCATGTGCTGGTAAGTACAGTGATCGGTAAAAAATTTTTCATTTCATTTATCTATACTTGATATTATAGTAGGACTAAGCCAAGCTTAAGAGTAAAAACAGCAGGAGATTCCAGACCCATGTTATGCTCCTCGTGCTCAGTGTGGGAGCTCAGGGATGCGGCTGATGTCCCTGACTCCTACACGTGCAGGAAGTGTGTCCAGCTGCAGCTCTTGTTAGACCGTATGACGGCTCTGGAGCTGCGGATGGACTCACTTTGGAGCATCCGCGATGCTGAGGAAGTCGTGGATAGCACGTTTAGCAAATTGGTCACACCGCAGATTAGGATTGCTGAGGGAGAAAGGGAATGGGTGACCAAAAGGCAGAAGAAAAAAAGCAGGAAGGCAGTGCAGGTGTCCCCTGCGGTCATCTCCCTCCAAAACAGGTATACATGGTTTTGGATACTGCTGGGGGAGATGGCTCACCAGGGGAAGGCAGCAGTAGCCAGGTTCATGGCACCGTGGCTGGCTCTGCTGTAAAGAAGGGTGGGAAAAAGAGTGCAAGGGCTATACTCATAGGGGATTCGATTGTAAGGGGAGCAGATAGGCGTTTCTGTGGTCGAAAACGAGACTCCCGAATGGTATGTTGCCTCCCAGGTGCACGGGTCAGGGATGTCTCAGATCGACTGCAGGACATTCTGAAGGGGGTGAACAGCCAGCTGTTGTGGTGCATATAGGCACCAATGATATAGGTAATAAACGGGATGAGGTCCTACAAGCAGAGTTTAGGGAGTTAGGAGCCAAGTTAAAAAGTAGGACCTAAGAGGTAGTAATCTCAGGATTGCTACCAGTGCCACGTGCTAGTCAGAATAGAAATGAAAGAATAGGTAGGATAAATGAGTGGTTTGAGAGATGGTGCAGGAGGGAGGGGTTCAGATTTTTGGGACATTGGGACTGGTTCTGGGGGAGGTGGGACTATTACAAATCAGATGGTCTACACCTGGGCAGGACTGGAACCAATGTCCTAGGGGGTGCTTTTGCTAACGCTGTTGGGGAGGGTTTAAAACTACTGTGGCAGGGGGATGGGAACCAAATGAGGAAGTTAGTGGACAGTAAGGAGACGGTAACTAAAGCCTGTAATGAACTAGATAACGAAGTCAGTGTGACCAAGGGGAGGAGTAGGCAGAGAGCAGATGATGAACGCAAAAGGGACAGGTGGTCTGAGGTGCATTTGTTTTAATGCGAGAAGTGTAGTAGGTAAGGCAGATGAACTTAGGGCTTGGATTAGTACCTGGGAGTATGATGTTATTGCTATTACTGAGGCTTGGTTGAGGGAAGGGCAAGATTGGCAACTAAATATCCCAGGATATAGATGCTTCAGGCAGGATAGAGAGGGAGGTAAAAGGGGTGGAGGAGTTGCATTACTGGTCAAAGAGGATATCACAGCTGTGCTGAAGGAGGGCACTATGGACAACTCGAGCAGTGAGGTAATATGGGCAGAGCTCAGAAATAGGAAGGGTGCGGTAACAATGTTGGGGCTGTACTACAGGCCTCCCAACAGCGAGCGTCAGATAGAGGCACAAATATGTAGACAGATTATGGAAAGATGTAGGAGCAACAGGGTGGGAGATTTTAATTTTCCCAACATTGACTGGGATTCACTTAGTGTTAGGGGTTTAGATGGAGCAGAATTTGTAAGGAGCATTCAGGAGGGTTTTATAGAGCAGTATGTAAATAGTCCAACTCGGGAAGGGGCCATACTGGACCCGGTGTTGGGGAATGAGCCCAGCCAGGTGGCTGAACTTTCAGTAGAGGATTACTTTGGGAATAGTGATCACAATTCCGTAAGTTTTAGAATACTCTTGGACAAAGACGAGAGTGGTGCTAAAGGAAGAGTGCTAAATTGGGGAAAGGCCAACTATAACAAAATTCGGCAGGAGCTGGGGAATGTGGATTGGGAGCAGCTGTTTGAGGGTAAATGCACATTTAATATGTGGGAGGCTTTTAAAGAGAGATTGATTAGAGTGCAGGACAGACATGTCCCTGCGAAAATGAGGGATAGAAAGGGCAATATTAGGGAACCATGGATGACAGGTGAAATTGTGAGACTAGCAAAAAGGAAAAAGGAAGCATATACAAGGTCTAGGTGACTGAAAACAGACAAAGCTTTGGAAGATATCGGAAAATTATGACCAATCTGAAATGAGGAATTAAGAGGGCTAAAAGAGGTCATGAAATATCTTTAGCAAACAGGATTAAGGAAAATCCCAAAGCCTTTTATTCGTACATAAAGGAACAAGAGGGTAACGAGAGAAAGGTTGGCCCACTCAAGGACAAAGGAGGGAAGTTATGCGAGGAGTCAGAGAAAATGAGTGAGAGTCTTAATGAGTACTTTGCGTCAGTATTCACTGAGGAGAGGGACATGACGGATGTTGAGGTTAGGGATAGATGTTTGATTACTCTAGGTCAAGTCGGCATAAGGGCGGGGGCGGGGGAAGCGTTGGGTATTCTAAAAGGCATTAGGGTGGACATGTCCCCAGGTCCGGATGGGATCTATCCCAGGTTACTGAGGGAAGCGAGAGAGGAAATACCTGAGGCCTTAACAGATACCTTTGCAGCATCCTTGAGCACGGGTGAGGTCCCGGAGGACTGGAGAATTGCTAATGTTGTCCCTTTGTTTAAGAAGGATAATCCAGGTAATTATAGACCTGTGAGCCTGACATCAGTGGTGGGGAAGCTGCTGGAGAAGATACTGAGGGATAGGATCTATTTACATTTGGAAGAAAATGGGCTTATTAGTGATAGGCAGCATGGTTTTGTGCAGGGAAGGTCATGTCTTACCAACTTGATAGAATTTTTTGAGGAAGTGACAAAGTTGATAGATGAGGGAATTGCTGTAGATGTCATATACATGGACTTCAGTAAGTCGTTTGGTAAGGCTCCCCATGGTAGGCTGATGGAGAAAGTAAAGTTGCATGGGGCTCAGAGTGTACTAGCTAGATGGATAGAGAACTGGCTAGGCAACAGGAGACAGAGGGTTGTAGTGGAAGGCAGTTTCTCAAAATGGAGAACTGTGACCAGTGGTGTTCCACAGGGATCCATGTTAGGACCACTGTTGTTTGTGATATACACAAGTAATCTGGAGAACAGTATAGATGATCGGATTAACAAATTTGCAGATGACACTAAGATTGGTGGAGTAGCAAATAGTGAAGGGGACTGTGAGAATGCAGCAGAATATAGATAGATTGGATAATTGGGCAGAGAAATGGCAGATAGCATTCAATCCAGGCAAATGGGAGGTGATGCATTTTGGAAGATCCAACTTAAGAGCGAACTATACGGTAAATGGAAAAGCCCTGGGGAAAATTGATGCACAGAGAGATCTGGGTGTTCAGGTCCATCGTACCCTGAAGGTGGCAACGCAGGTTGATAGAGTGGTCAAGAAGGACACGGCCTGCTTTCATTCATCGGATTGGGTATTGAGTACAAGAGTTGGCAGGTCATGTTACAGTTGTATAGGACTTTGGTTCGACCACATTTGGAATACTGCATACAGTTCTGGTCGCCATATTACCAAAAGGATGTGGATGCTTTGGAGAGGGTGCAGAGGAGGTTCACCAGGATGTTGCCTGGTATGGAGGGCGCTAGCTATGAAGAGAGGTTGAGGAGATTAGGATTATTTACATTAGAAAGACGGAGGTTGAGGGGGGAATCTGATTTGAGGTCTACAAAATCATGAGAGGTATAGACAGGGTGGATAGCAAGAAGCTTTGTCCCCCCCTGCAGAGTGGGGGACTCAATTATCAGGGGTCACGATTTCAAGGTGAGAGGGGAAAAGTTTAAGGGAGATATGCGTGGAAAGTTCTTTACGCAGAGGGTGGTGGGTGCCTGGAACGCATTGTCAGGGGAGGTGGTAGAGGCGGGCACGATAGCATCATTTAAGATGTATCTAGACAGATACATGAATGGGCAGGGAGCAGAGGGATACAGATCCTTCGAAAATAGGCGACAGGTTTAGATAGAGGATCTTGATCGGCGCAGGCTTGGAGGACTGAAGGGCCTGTTCTTGTGCTGTAATTGTCTTTGTTCTTTGTAGTTGTAGAGTGTTTTGCAAAAGAAACAAACACAAACACAAAGTGAGGAAATCCTTTTCTCCACAGCAAGTAGTTCGGGTATGAAGTGCAGTGCTTGGAAATGTGGAGGAGACATATTTAATGGAGGCATTCAAAATGGTATCGGATGGTTATTAAATGGAAACAACGCAAAAAGGAAGTGGGGAAAAGTAGAAGACTTGCATTCAGTTAAAATGCAAAGTAAGACAGTACAAACGCTGAATGGTTTTCTTCTGCAACCTGGTAATTCTATGACCCAGCAGTTGGCATAAATGATTGCATGTCACAGCTGAAACAGCAGGCCAGCAGAGGCAGGCCGTCAGAGACCGGAAGACAGAAAACGGGCAGACATTATTCAAGTTGCATTTGCTTGTGAAGCAGTGGGTCAGGATGAAAGCATCATACCAATCTCATTCCCAGTGCCGCCTTCATGAATGGCCCACAGAATGATCTCGCTGCATGAGGCCACAGCCACCATCTTGTCGTTGTCACCCAGGGAACCACCCAAGACCTTAGCATTCAGTGCCACGCGTTCAATGACCCAGTCTAACCGTGGGCTGGAGAATACCTGCTGCCAGCCAGATGACTCCTTCAGTCTGAGAGAGACAAAAAACAGAAGAGATTGAGGAGCCAACAAGGAGGGTGTCTGTAAAATCCTGACCTCAGATACTTAAGGTCCAGGCCAGGCCAGGCCTGGCCTCTGACCAGGTCCCAGGCAGGAGTGGGATTTGGGGTGGGGCTGGAGGTGGTAGGTCACCCCTGGCAGAGGAGGGCCCAGCCCGGCCTGGCCCTCCCCTCCCGCAAAAGGCCCCCAGGAAGAGGGATAGCCCCAAGTGTTGTTTTCTTTGGACCAGGGAAGATTGAGGGGGAACCTGATAGAGATCTATAAGATGATGTGGGGCATAAATAGGGTTGATAGCAAGCTGCTGTTCCCCTTATTTTGAAGGGAAAATACAAGGGGTCATTATTTTAAAGAAGAAAGGCAGGAAATTTAGAGGGGATTTGAAGAATTCCCTCTCATCCAGAGGACAGCAGGAATCTGGAATGCATTGCCTGGGAGGGGAGGTAAAAAAAAAAAACTTCATAACTTCTGTAAAGCACTTTTATGAGCATTCAAGAAGTCATAACATTCAAGGCTTTGGGCAAAATGCTGGAAAAAGTGGGGCTAGCGTAAATTTAGTTGAGTTTTGGCTATACAGGCATGATGGCTTAGAATGACCCTTCAGCCCAAAGAGGAAAGCTGAGGCGATTATGGGGTAGAATGAGTGATACTGTTTGGGTTTTGCACACTCACCTGTAACACACCACAAATTGGGTGTAGACCACAGCAATCCAGTTGTGATGTCCTCGGACAATCCGCACCATTCCGGGATTGGCTATCAATCCTGTGCCAAATGGAAGGATGCAGTTAGGGCCAAGAGTGAACTCGCTCGAAATCCAAATAACCAGCTGAGTACCTCTAGCTCCAGGGCTGGAATGCTCCTTTTGATTGCACCTCGATTCATTTCGGTCAGCAAACCCCATGAGCAATTTGGGAAATGGTAAGCAGATCCTGGGAGAATTCCGACCCCCATCCCTGGGCTGCACTGAGCTCAATGCAACTCTACAAGGTCTGTGCATGAGAGACAATTTGAACCAGATGTAGGGCGACCACCGCCGCCAGCTGACCATCACCAGCCTTGGCCAAAGTCTCCAACCAAAATGTAATGCTCTCCTTGTCGGAGAACAGCTCATCTCCCACTACTTCTAGTTCATAGTCGCACACCACCCTCCAGGCATGGAAACAGCTGGAGTTTCTTCCCTGTTACTTAGCCAGTACTGAGATTGTGACAGTCAGTCACGGCTATGGGTGTAGACACCCACACAGGCCACAGGTAGATACTCACAAAAAGGTGACACCAAATATAAAAGACCTTGCCAGTGATACAAGTCTCGAGAGTTAAAATCAATAACCAGGAGGAGGAGGAGTACTGTCTGTTACTTTTGTGATGTTCATTCCTCCTTGGAGATTGAAGTACAACAGCTTTATGGTTTTGAAACCTGGGGATAGGACATAGAAGAGTACAGCACAGTACAGGCCTTTCGGCCCACGATGTTGTGCCGACCTATTATCCTACTCGAAGGTCAAACTACCCTGCATACCCTACATTTTACTATCATCCATGTGCCTATCCAAGAGTTGCTTAAATGTCCAAGGTATCTGACTCCACCAACATTGCATTCCACGCACCTACCACTCTCCGAGGAAAGAACCTCTCTGACATCTCCCCTATACCTTCCTCCAATCACCTTAAAATTATGCCCCCTCATTTCCATTAGTTCGGTGGCTGTGATACAGAGTGACACCAACAGCACCAATTCCTATACCAGCTGAGGTCACTATGAAGGGACCATCCTGGTGTTGCACCTCTTGTTAAACTCACCAGTCAACCCTCTCCAACAAGTGAGCAGCCCATGTCCCTCTGGGATTGCAGTCACTTACAACCGTTTCTGGTTTTAAACCTAGTGGCAACAATAATGGCAAATTGCTCTTGGATCATTTCCTCCAAGTCCCAGTCAATATCACCAGGCCCCGAGTGGGGGACACATACCCTATTTCCACCCCAATAGATCAGGCACAGAATTCAGTTCCAGTACAGGGTCCTGGCTGCCGAGGCCAAATGCAATTCAGTCACAATCGAGCAAGGACCTTCTCTGCCTCAGGACCAGCATTTTGGGGATAGAGAGGAGAGGAGAGGAGGAGCGGCGTGGCGTGATAGAGACTTGTTGATAGACTTCCGAAATAGTGTTCAAGTGGTGCGTGATGACCTTGTACCCACCATTCCCTCGCTGCTCCAGAAGCTTTCCCAGGATGCCAGCATTGCCTAGGTTAGGTGGCATGGTGTTGCTCCTTCGTACAGGAACACGATCTGCAGCTTCCTGCCGGGACCCCACAAATTGTGGTCCAGCAAGGCTGTGTCGATTCTGCCTCATCGTTGGAATCACTGCAGACAAAAGAAAAATGTCAAAATAAAAGGATCAAGGAGAGAGATATGGCAATGGTTCCTCACTGTGTTCCCAGTGCCTATTCAATGGAGGGAAGTCAAACCACATGAATAATTCAGCTCCTTTGACCCACTATGCTCACTGCCCCCACACTGGCACTCCACATTCAGTAACCTCTTTGGCCACCAGCATGTTGGGAAAACCAAGGAGCAAAGTGAATGAACGAACGAACCTGGTGGAGGTAGGTATCCATGGAACAGAACGTTTCCACAGGATGAGCGTTCCAAATCCTCGCATAGTTCTAGTCGGCGAACTGGGAAGAGGAAACAAGATATGAAAATGTGAAACTCCAACAGGGGTAGTTCCACCACAGGCCCAGCCTTTGGCATGGGTAGGATCATTCTTTGTATTGCAGGGACAGTGACGATGATGCAGAACATAGCCTCTTAGTTACATTTGCACCCAAGGCTCTGAGAGTACTGCATTGCTAGAGGCACCATCTTACGGATGGGATGTTAAATTGAGGCTCTATGTGCACATTAGCTCCTTAAAACATAGGGCCTATGCTGTACAGTTGTTTGGCCCATGGTGTTGTGCTAAACACTATGCCAAATTAAACCAATCCCTTATGCCTGCCCTTGGTCCATAACCCTCCATTCCTTAGTTAAGCACAAAGATTATACAAAAGTCCCTTAAATGTCCCTATTGTATCTGCCTCCACCACCACCCCTGGTAGTGCATTCCAGACTCCAATCAGTGTCAAAGCAACTTTCCCTCTCTCCCCTTAAATGCACACCCTGTAATGTGGCAACCCCAATTGAACACAATACTCTAAGTGTGGCCTAACCAAAAAGTCTTATCATATTGCAGCTTTATATCCTGACTCGAACTCAATTCCCTGACCAATAAAAGGCAAGCATGCTATATGCCTTCTTTACCACCCTATCTACTTGTGTGGCCACTTTCAGGGAGCCATGGACTTGAACCTCAAGATCCTTCTGTGCATCAATGCTGTTCAGAGTCCTGCCATTAGCTACATACTTTTCCTTAACATTTGATCACCCAAAGTGTAGCACCTCACAATTACCCAGATTAAACTCCATCTGTCATTTCACTGCCCATACCTGCAACTGATCTGTATTCCTCTGTATCCTTTGACTACCTTCTAAACTATCCACAACTCCCCCAATCTTTGTATCGTTTGCAAACATACTAATCTATTCATCTACATTTTCATCCAAGTCATTTATATATCAGAAACAGAGGTCCCAGGATGGATCCCTGCGGAACACCACTAGCTATGGACCTCCAGCCGGAAAACACCCTTCCACCACTACTGCCTTCTATGGGCAAACCAATTCTGAATCCATGCGGCCCAGTCACCATGCATCCCGTGCGCCTTAATCTTCTAGACGAGCCTACCATGAGAGACCTTGTCAAAAGCCATGTAGACAACATCCACTGCTCTACACTGAATCACGTTTGTCACCACTCAAACAATACAATCAAGTTAGTAAGACATGATCTGCCCTGCACAAAGCCAAGCTGACTGTCCCTAATTAGGCCATGCTTTTCCAAATGCATGTAAATTCACTCCTGAAGAATTCTCTCCAGTAACTTCCCAACCACCAATGATAGACTCACCATTCTATAGTTTCTGGATTATCGACTCGCCAGTCCTCTGGGACCTCTTCAGTGGCTATCGAGGATACAAAGATCTTGGGCAAGGCCCCAGCAATCTCCTATCTTGCCTCTCTCAGTAACCTGGGGTAGATACCATTGAGCTTTGGGGACTTATCCACCTTAAACACCACTTCTTTCTTGATCTCAAAATGCCCAAGCATATTAGCATGCACCACACAAATCTCACTATCCTCCATATCTTTTTCCTGGGTGAATACCGATGCAAAGTACTCACTTAGGATAACAAGGTGCAATGCTGGATGAACACAGCAGGCCAAGCAGCAAGGCTAACGTTTCGGGCCTAGACCCTTCATCAGAAATGGGGGAGGGAAAGGGGGTTCGGAAATAAATAGGGAGAGAGGGGGAGGCGGATAGAAGAGGAGATAGGTGGAGAGGAAACAGACAGGTCAAAGAAGCGGGGATGGAGCCAGTAAAGGTGAGTGTAGGTGGGGAGGTAGGGAGGACATAGGTCAGTCCAGGGAGGACGGACAGGTCAAGGGGGCAGGATGAGGTTATGGGAGATGGGGGTGCGGCTTGAGGTGGGAGGAAGAACAGGTTAGGGAGGCGGGGACGAGCTGGGCTGGTTTTGGGATGCGGTAGGGGGAGGGGAGATTTTGAAGCTTGTGAAATCCACATTGATACCGTTAGGCTGCAGGGTTCCCAAGCGGAATATGAATTGCTGTTCCTGCAACCTTCGGGTGATATCGTTGTGGCACTGCAGGAGACCCAGGATGGACATGTCGTCTGAGGAATGGGAGGGGGAGTTGAAGTGGTTCGCGACTGGGAGGTGCAGTTGTTTATTGTGAACTGAGTGTAGGTGTTCTGCAAAGCGGTCCCCAAGCCTCCGCTTGGTTTCCCTAACGTACAGGAGGCCACAACGGGTACAATATACCACATTAGCAGATGTGCAGGTGAACATCTGCTTGATGTGGAAAGTCTTCTTGGGGCTTGGGATGGGGGTGTGGGGGCAGGTGTAGCATTTCCTGCGGTTGCAGGGAAAAGTGCCGGGTGTGGTGGAGATGGAGGGGAGTGTGGAGTGGACAAGGGAGTCACAGAGAGAGTGGTCCCTCCGGAAAGCAGATAAAGGGTGGGGAGGGAAAAGTGTGGTGCGGGTCAGATTGCAGATGGTGGAAATGTCAGAAGATGTTGCGTTGGATCCGGAGGTTGGTGGGGTGGTACGCGAGGACGAGGGGGAATTCTTTTTTGGTTGTTATTGCGGGGACAGGGTGTGAGGGATGAGTTGCGGGAAATGCGGGAGACATGATGGAGGGCATTCTCGACCACTGGGGTGGGGGGAGTTGCAGTCCTTGAAGAACGAGGACATCGGAGATTGGATCTTGCCCACATCCTCTGCCTCCAAGCACAAATTCCCTCCTTTATCCGAGTGGTCGTACCTTGTCCCTAGCTATTCTTTTGCTTTTAAGTGTATCAATAGAAATGCCTTGGGATTCTCTTTAACCCTAATTGCCAAGTTCACGTCGTGGCCTCTTCTTGCTCTTATTTCCCTGCTTGAGTTCTTTCCTGCTTTCCTTATATGCCTCACGGGCCCTGTCTGATTTTAGCTTCCTAAACATTACATATGCTTCTTTTTCCCTTTGGAGAGAAAAATCACAACCTCCCTCATTATCCAAGGGTCCCTTGCCTTGCCACCTTGGACCTTCCTCCTTACTGGAGCATGCCAGTCTTGAACTCTCCCCAGCAGGTCTTTAAACAGTTCGCACAAGAGGATAGATAGGGTGGACAGTGGGAGCCTTTTTCCTCGGATGGTGGTGGCTAGCATGAGGGGACATATCTTTAAATTGAGGGGTGATAGATATAGGACAGATGTCAGAGGTAGGTTCTTTACTCAGAGAGTAGTAAGGGCGTGGAATGCCCTGCCTGCAAAAATAGTAGACTCACCCACTTTAAGGGCATTTAAATGGTCATTGGATAAACATACGGATGATAATGGAATAGTTTAGGTTAGATGGGCTTCAGATTGGTTTCACAGGTCGGCGCAACATCGAGGGCCGAAGGGCCTGTACTGCGCTGTAATGTTCTACGTTCTAAGTCAAATATGGACTTGCCCGATAACAGCTTCTCCCAAATAACACTACCTAGCTCCTACTTAATACTGACGTAATTTGCCCTCCCCCAGTTTAGTATCTTCCCACAAGGTCCTGACATATCCTTGTTCATTGCGATCTTAAAAACTTAAGGAGTTGTGATCACTGTTACCAAAATGCTCTCCCACTGAAAAGATCAGTCACCTGGCCAGGCTCATTAACCAATACAATGGTCCAGTATGGCCCTCTAGTTGGACTATCCACATACTGTTTCAAGAAACCCTCTTGGATGCACTTAACAAATTCTGCCTCGCCTAAGCCTCTTGGTCTAAGGAAGTCCCAGTCAATATTGGGGGAAGGTAAAGTCACCCACTAGGACAACTGTTTTTTATTGCACCTTTCCATAATCTGCCTCCATATTTTTTCCTCAATGTCTCAGTGGCTGATGGTGGTGGGGGGGCTATAGCATAATCCCAGAGTGATAACACCCATCTTATTTTTGATCTGTACCCATATTGCCTCAGTAGATGAGCCCTCCAGTATGTCCTCTCTGGATGCAGATGTAACATTCTCCCTGATCAGTAATGCAACTCCACCTCTTACCTTCCTCTTGATCTTGTTTAAAAGAAGAAAACCCTGGAATGTTGAGCAGTCAAACCTATCTCTTTCAATCATATTTTTAACAACTTAGTCCCATGTACTGATCTAGGCTCTAAGCTCATCTGCCTTACTTGTAGTACAATAAATACACTTCAGTCCATCAATCCAGTGTTCATTTACCGGCCTCTGCCTGTCCTCCTTTTCTGATTTACTGGTTATAACACTTACCTCCCCTCACTGACCCTGCGGGCCTGATTCCCAGCACCCTGCTAGTCTAAGTTTAGGAACCCGCCTGCTCCTCTTCAGAGGCCCGGCCAATACTTATCATCAAGCCAGATCACAAAACATGGATCAACCAGATCCTTATGGCAGTACTGTTTGGTGGGGTGGAGGGGGGAGAAGAGGAGACATTTTAGGGGCCTGTCAGAGTGAAGAAGGACATGGCTGGATTGGTTTGGAGATTCTGGACAACAAGTGAAGGAGGGTGCTCCAGTTGCCCCCCTTCCCCACACCCCCACCCACCCTCTTTCCTCATCCCCACTCTCTCATTGCACAGCCCCTCCCCCTTACTCACCCAGCGGTGCAATTCCATAAAATTCCGCCTCATGCCGGAGAGTTGCAATGTTCACATCCCTGGGGAAACCAAAAATCAATTCGTTTCCAGACAATTCCACAGCTATTGAAGTGATTGAATATTCAATAAACACCATCAGCTCCGTGCCGAATGAAAACTATCCCTCCCTGACAACGATCACATCCTCAACTTCACAACACTCGAGGCTGACAGAGGGCAGGAAAGTTACTGAGGAGGCACCTGTAATTTCAGGAAGGGATTACATGCTTTCCTTCTTCTCCCGGGAAAGGCACAGCTCAGGTTAGATACAAAAGGAAAGCAGTCTCTGAACTGGGTGTACGATCCACTCCCTCAGCAGACAGACAGACAGACAGACAGACAGAGGCTGAAGGGTTTTGCTGTGGCAACGCTTCAGGCCTGGCCAAGTTAGTGGCTTGTTGAGGGGGGGGGTAGTGGGTTGCCCACCTGGTCTCTCTCCGAGTTATATCAGAGGCCAGCTGGCCCTGGGACCAATTGTACAACAGCATCCATGATCACAGAATCATAGAAAGCCTACTGTGCAGACAGAGGCCTTTTGACCTATTGAGTCTGCACCGATCACCAAAGACCATCGCAACCAGACCCAGTTCCAAACAGTCCCTTTGTTGTTCGCTGTCGACGTACCTGGCATCCAACTCTTTTGTGCGGAGAAAATTCAAAATGGATGTGAAGACAGTAGGGTCTCGATCAATAAAGATCTGAAATAAAATCAGAGGGAGAGAGAGATTGGGGAGTGCTGGGCAGAGTAGAGTTAGCCCATTCAGGGCCAGCATTCAATTGTAGATGCAGAATCAATATCTACTGAACCAAATTTTGATTCCTTATTGAAATGGGCTGTGATTTTACTCACTGCTCCAGTTTCATCCTTTAACGTTGAAATTCTTCCACTCAACAAACTGTAACACAAGAAACAGTATCAGATCAATAACAGTCAGGTCTGACATTCCCTCCCCATATCACAGAGTGTGCCCAGCACCCAATGTCCATTCACTGCAGAGCTAATCCACAAAGCACAGTGAGATTTGTTTCAGGAAATCTGGATTGGGAAAGGCAGGGAAACAAGTAGAAATAAATCCTCAATCAGAAACTCCTGCTGTAGAGTGTGCGGTTTCTCAGAAACTGGAAACTTGACCAATGAGTGTATCTTACCTTGAGAAAAAGGAGTCTGGGATCCAGGTAAGAGTCTGTCTTGAGGAACTGAACCTAAAATATATTCAAGGAAACCAGAGAACGTCAGTCACAATATCACACACACACCCCCCCAAAATAGGGCATTCTGACACAGGTTGGGGGTGGGGGTGTTAACGGCACTCAACTGTCATTATCAGCTACTTTCGTACAGAAGGCTCACCATACATAAAATGGATGCAGAATCATGAAAAATATATAATGTCTTCCAGAAGTCCAATGACTACCCCTATTGATTCACTAGAGTGATAGAAAACAGGTGGTGTAGGCCATTGGCTCACAGCACTTGTACCATTGGATATGTTTGTGGTTGACGTTGATCCTCTCAATGCCATAGGCCAGTGCTCTCCTGATGCCTTCATCCTCTAGAAATCTACTTTCTTTCTTTAATATTTTCAGTGACTTTCCCATAAGGCTGTGGAAGTGGAGAATTCCACAGGCTCACCAGCCTGAGTGAACACATTTCTCCCAATATCAGTCCCAAAAGAACCTGTATCCTGAAAGTATGACCCCTTATGGTAGAGTCCCCACCAAACCAGGGAAACCTCTCAACCCTGCATTCACTTGGTCCAGCCAGAAATATGGGATGAGACTCCTTCCCATTCTTCCAAACTCCAGTTGGCTACAAATCAGAGAGGCTCATGTGTTCTCTGCATAAAGAAATTCCATTGAACTTGAAGTGTTAACTCTGTTTCCTCTCTCCACAGATGCAGCTGGGGTTCTCCAGCGCTTCATGTTTGAATTTCAGATCTCAAACATCCGCAGTATTTTGTTTTTATTTTATAAGAAAAATTCAATGTTGCCCAAAGCTGTGCACACAGCCACTCCACACTTTTCTGCAAACGGCATCAGCACCAATCACAGCATTCTGGATGTCGCTGCTGTGCCCTGACCTTGGGGGCTTGCACAGCTGGTTAGAAAATTGGAGAGGGAACACTGGTCCCAGCAGTTCATAATCTGTAACAACATAGAAAAAAGTGATCTGGGGGCCCAATTGTAATATTTCCAAGTTTGACGACGATGCAAAACATGACAGGAAAATGCAAAGAGGCTTAGGAGAGATTGTCAGAGACCGCAGATTTTTAATTTTCAGGACGATAAACTGAAATACCAAACCCTATTGCAGAAGAGTTTATCAACTCGAACATGAACTGCTGCATTTTCTTAGTTACCCCACCCCAGCGAAAGGGAGAATTTGAGATACCTCAAAAGACTTTCGGTTCTGCTGTAAGGAAATTCTGCATGACTACAGCCCTCTGATTGGGTGCGGTGCAGAGTGTTGAGATCTCCAAGTACCAGAGCAACAAGAGAAACATCTAAAGCTTGCGCTCCACTGGCTTCCTGTTCTCATAAACATGACTTGCCCACACATCCGCCAACTGATAAAGTGCCATGAGCTGAACCTTCAATATTCAGCCTAGTGTTCCATTGTATTTTCTACATCAGTCATGATTATGTTTTTTTAAATTTAATTCTCTTTAAGCCCATGTCTTTTGTCACCCAGGCAGCTCAAGATTTACTTGCCTACCTTTGACCCTTGAGGTTATATACTATTGACTGAAGCGCTTTGAAAGAAGCCCACCTATTCAGCTGCCATTTTCCTTACAAGCCTTTAGCTCAAATGCATTTGTCTCCAGTTCCATGTGAACAATTGGAGTTGGCCTTCTCCCAGTTTATAATTGAGCAGTCATGACTGCTCAATCTCCTTTTTCATCATCACTGTAGATTTAATCACAGTCAGCACTGTTCCTGAAAAGTTCTTCCAATGACATCTGGAGGGACATCTATTTGGCCCACTTTGATCCAAAGAACCAGGTCTAGCATTGCCTCCTTTTCCTCATTGGACTCGAAACATACCGCTTTAGAAAAGTCTCCTGAACACATTCGAGGAACCTTACTCATTTCTGGCCTTACATTACTCCATATTCCAATCTATATTTGGAGAACTAAAACTGCCCTTTGTAAATAATCAATAATTCTTGCACTTCTCCATAATTTCCTGGAAAGTCTTTCTCTAAAAATCTTTTCCACTAGCTGGTGACCTACAGAAAACACGAAGCAAAATAACTGCAACGTTATTGTTCCTTAGTTTTAGCCAAATCAATTCTGTCTCCAGTTCGGTGACTATGTTCTTTCACCACAGAAGTGTTCTCCTGATTCAATATAGTCACTCCAGCCTCCCATTTTCTCTCCACATTTCAGGAACCAATCATGTGTCTAGGAATATTTAATACCTAGTCCAATTATTCCTCAAACCAGGTCTCAATCATAGACACAATGTCCACATGGAAATCAGCACTTGTAACTCAATCATATTTACCACACTCTGTGCATTCATGTACATATGCTGTAAACTTGGGCTTAGATTTTAATCATTTTTGACCCCACCTATTAACTTCATATTCTTAATCTTTGTGCTATCTAGCCCACCCAGCATTTTGTGTAGCTCACTGTTTCTGATATTACCTCTTGACTCCCGCACGCTTTCCACAGGAGTATAAATTCTCCAAAACAGCACCAGCAAATCACTGATCAAAGTAATTGCAACTTTTTTGTTCCTTAGTTTTAGACAAATCAGTTATTTAGGTGCAACCCATCCAGTCTGGAAGGTCACATCTCTCTGGACCCGAGGAGACACGATAGAGTAGTCTGCCACATCAGTGCAAAAGGCAAGGGTGAAAACTTTGCAACCACCTTCAGTCAGAAGTGCCTAATGGATGATCCATCTCAGCCTCCAGCAGTGATGCCAGTTTTCAGCCAATTCAATTCATTCCAGATGATATGACGAACAGTTGGGAGGTTCTGGATATTGCAAAGTCTATGCGCCCTGACAACATTCTAGCAATTGTGCTGAAGATCTGTGTTCAAGAACCTGTAAAACCCCTAGCCGAGCTTCTCTAGTACTGCCCCAACACTGACATTTAATTGACAATATGGAAAATTGCACAGGTATGTCCTGTACACAAAAAGGTCAAATCCAACCCAGCCAAATATTGTCCCATCGGTCTACTCTCAATCATCAGTAAAGTGATGGAAGGTGTCAGTAACAGTGCCATCAAACAGCACCTGCTTAGCAATAACCTGCTCAGCGACGCCCAGTTCGGGTTCCGCCAGGGCCTCTCAGCTCCTTCATTGCACTGTTGGTTCAAACATGGAAAAAAGAACTGAATTCCAAAAGGCGAGGAGAGTGTGACAGCCCTTGACATCAAGGTCATATTTCTTTGAGCGTGGCATCAAGGCGCCCTAGCAAAACTGGGATCAATGGGCATCAGCGAGCAAAGTCTCCACTGGTTGAAGTCATACCTGGCACATAGGAAGATGGTTGTCAGTCATCTCAGCTCCAGACATCTCTGCAAGAGTTCTTCAGGGTAGTGTCTTCAGACCAACCATCTTCAGCTGCTTCATCGATGACCTTCCCTTCATCATAACTTCAGAAGTGGGGATGTTCACCAATGATTGTACAATATTTAGCTCCATTCTCAACTCCTTAGATACTGAAGCAGTCCATGTTCAACTACAGTAAGATCTGAACAATATCCAGGTTTGGGCTGACAAACGGCAAGTAACATTAATGCCCCACAATTGCCAGGTAATGACCACTTCTGACAAGAGCGAATTCAAGCATCACCCCATGACAATCAATGGTGTTACCATCACTTAATCCCCCACTTTCAACATCCTGGGGGTTACTATCAACCAGAAACTCAACTGAACTAGCCACGTAAATACACAGTAGCTATAACAGCAGCTCACAGACTGGGCATCCTGCAGTTAGTAACAATTCCCGACTCCCCAAACCCTGTCCATCTACAAAGCGCAAGTGAGCAGTGCAATGGAATACTCCACACTTGCCTGGATAATTACAACTCCAACAACACAAGAAGCTTGACACTATCCAAAGGCCAAGTTTGATTGGCACCACATCCACAAAAAATTCACTCCCAGTAGCAGCAGTGTACACCATTCACACGTTGCACTGCAGACATTCACCAAAGTGCCTTAGACAACACCTCTGAAAATCTCTGATTTTCTGAAGGGTCTAGGGCCGAAACGTCAGCTTTCCTGCTCTTCTGATGTTGCTTGGCCTGCTGTGCTCATCCAGCTCAACACCTTGTTATCTCTGAAACCCATAGTCATTTTCATCTGGAAGGACAGTGGCAACAGATACATGGCAACACCAGCCACTGCAAGTTCCCCTCCAAGTCACTCAACATCCTGACTTGGAAATACATCGCCATTCCTTCGCTGGGTCAAAATCCTGGAATTCCCTCCTTAAGGACATTGTGGACTTAACTACAGCACATGGACTGCTGCATTTCAAGGCAGCAGTTTTACAAAGGGCAATTAGGGATGGACAATAATTGCCAGAAGCAGCCAGTGACACTCAAGTCCCATGAGTGGATTATTTAAAATAACACAATAATAGCAATGGGCTTCTAACAGATTAAGGAGATTCCAGGTCTGCAGTCTTGTTTTCAGTGCCCACAGGCTAAAGTGCAGAAATTATCAGCCAGGATTCCCCTGCCAGTGACTAAGTGTCGCTTTCTTTCAAAAGACACTTACCGTTGCTCAGTGTCTAGCTCCAACCAATTCCTTGCACAGATCCACAGACCATTACCGATATCTCAAGACATTGCGCGATCTCTCAACCACTATTCTGACCCCAGCCGAGTTCATGCAGTGTGAGACTTGTGATGCAGAATGATGCTAACAGTATGGGTTCAAGTCCCATACCAGCTGAAGTCACCATGAGGATCCTTCCTTCTCAACCTTTGCCCCTCACCCGAGTCACGGTGCCTCTCCAGTTTAATTCAACACCACTCATCTTAACAAGAGACAGTAGACCGACTGTTGTCTGGGACCATGGAGGCTATCTATCTTGAGATTCACACAACTACCTACACCATCTCATCCATATCCTCAGCTTCCGTATCCAACAGCACAGTTTCACTCCATTTCAAAACTGTCCCAATCCAGTTTTTCACTTCACACTAAACCTCATTCAATCCTATCATATGGAAAAAAAAAAAAAAAAAAAACAAAAACTTTTTTCCGGGTCAACTGTGAAAGATTGCAAACTTCAACACCTCATGGATGACACCACTGTTCTTTTACTGAAGAAGGGTCTAGACCCAAAACGTCAGCTTTCCTGCTCGGCCTGCTGTGTTCATCCAGCTCTACACCTTGTTGTCTCAGATTCTCCAGCATCGGCAGTTCCTACTATCTCTGTTCTAGATCTTCGTTTCGTCTGAACCACATCATCCCCCACCTTCCAAACTCATCATGACTGACTTTTCACTGTTCTCTCTGACCTTGAACTACCTGCTCTCAAAGGCCTCACTTTCAGCTGCTTTCACACTGACTCAGTGATTCACATTTAGCTCAAACCAGGAGTTCATCACCTTCTTTATCTTGTATTTGTTTTGTCACCAGGAATCTTTCATCTCCCACCAACATGTCTAACCCCACCTAGATATCCAGCCACACTCTTCTACTACTTTCCCCTCCAGCTAGTCCCAGTGAGCTGATACTCTTTCCTCCAGCACATTTCAACACAAACACCAGCACCTTTACCCCTTTACCATAAAAATACTTCTCCCACAAAAAAAAACAATCCTATGCTTTCTTGAATTTATAGTCTGCTGCGCACTTCTCATAGTACAGTGCTCAAATTTGGACACCCCAGTGATAGCTGGGTGACAACTTTGCAAAACATCACCATTCAGTTCATGAGCAGGATCCCAAACTCCCAGTTACCTGTCATTTTCAATCTTCACCACACACTTACACTGTCTTTGGCTTCCTGCACTGTATCAATATAGAGTCATAGAGCTGTACAGCACAAAAACTGACCCTTCAGTCTAATGCGTCCATGCCAACCAGATATCCTAATGAATCTAGTTCCATTTGCCAGCATTTGGCCCATATCTCTCTCTAAACCCTTCCTATTCATATAACCATCCAGATGCTTTTCAATTGTTGTAATTGTACCAGCCTCTACTACTTTCTCTGCAGCTCATTCCATACACACCACCTGCTGCATGAAAAAGTTGCCCCTCACGTCCCTTTTAAATCTTTCCCCGCTCACCTTAAACCTATGCCCTTTAGTTTTGGACTTCCTCCACCCTCAGGAAAAGACCTGACTATTCACCCTATCCATGCCCCTCATCATTTTATAAGCCTCTAAAAGGTCACCCCTCAGCCTCTGATGCTCCAGGGAAAATAGCTCCAGCCTATTCAGCCTCTCCTTGTAGCTCAAACCCTCCAACCCCAGCAACATCCTTGTAAATCTTTTCTGAACCCTTTCAACTTTCACAACATCATCCCTATAGCAAGAGACCAGAATTGCAAGCAGTATTCCAATAGTGGCCTAACCAATGCCCTGTACAGCCATAACATGACTTTTAACTCTGACACTCAATGCACTGACCAATAAAGACAAGTGTACCAAATGCCTTCTTCACTATTCTGTCTAGCTGCGACTTCACTTTCAAGGAACGATGAACCTACACTCCAAGGTCTCTTTGTTCAGAAGAACTCCTCAGGACTTTTCCATTAAGTGTACAAGTCCTGCTCTGTTTTGCCTTTCCAAAATACAGCACCTTACATTTACCTAAATTAAACCCCATCCACCACTCCTCAGCCCACTGGCCCATCAGATCAAGATCCCATTGCATTTCTGAGGTAACCTTCTTCACTGTCAACTACACAACAGGACCTGATTGAGGTGTACAAAATCATATCGTTGTGTAGAGACACAACAAACAATCAGCTCCTCTCTCAAGTTGGTAATTTACAACATTCTGGACACTACCAAATTCAAAAATTTCAGATAAAATAACCAATTCAAGTCACAGGGTGGTTGTTGGTAATGATTCTGCATTTTCATATTGACGCCTCCTATAGAACCAGCTTTGGTTTCTTCACTTCATCTGCCTTTGCCTTGCATCATCAAGCTTGGAGGTGATGCTGTCTATGGTCAATTAGTCTGCTTCCCTCTGGGGCCAGAAATGGCAAATAGGCATTTGAATGAAACAGTGAGTAACTACCGATCACTGAACCCAGCCAAAACCACACAAAGGGTCATGAGGGCAGATGCCCAGACACCCCCTGACCTCCTCAGAGAAAGTCACATCAAGTGCTTGCTGAGAAAGTAACTGGGGCACCTGGACTTTCCCCACTCCCTGCAGAACATCCCCCACCTGGGAGTCAGCATGGGATCCACAACAGTCTGAATAAAATAAAAGAAACATTTATTATTAATCTTGGGTTTGTGCCAGAGGCAAAGATGGAGACAGGTTCCACTTACTGAAACTAACAGCTATTGTCCAGTAGTCACACATCTCCAGACCAATCATGAAGACATGGAGAGGGGCACATTCTGAAGGAGATTGGGAGTCATGATGAGCACCTTATTGCGGGCAGGGGAAGTTGCAGGGTGCAACAGCAGTATTCCAAGGAAGAAGAACAGGGCTTTTTTTTCCCCCTTGACAATCTAATAAGTAATTATCACAGAGCAACAACAACCTGCATTCACATAGCAGCATTAAATGCAATAAAACAAAGGGCCTAATGGCCTTCAGAGAATTTTAAAAGTCAGTAGTCACATTGAGCTACATGAGGAAGCTTGGTGTAATATAAATAGATGTTGTTGTAAGAGACAAAGAGGAATTTCTGAAACAAAGTAGCATAACTGAAGCAGACAAGCTGATCATTTCCCACAATCTTGCGGCGCACATCGGCTGCAGCATTTCCTACATTACAACAACCAATACATTGCATCGACTGCGAAGCACTTTGGGACGTCCAGAGGTTCTGAAAGGCACACTCTAAATGCAACTCTTTCTCACCATTCTTGCTAATAAATAACAGAAAAAATGTAACGCTGAAGTCACAACCCGAAACATGAACATGTTCTCTACACAATGCTGCTTGACTGCTTCCAGCATTTCTGGTTTTAGTGATAGAACATAACTATCAGACTCAGTCACAACCACAAACACCGCTGTTTAACAAAACGTTGAAACAGCAAATGGAAAAAACCTGTTGCTAAAGACAGAGGCTTGGAGGCAGCGTACATTCAAACAGCTCCAAACACCCCACGCAGGACAGTGATCCTGAAATGAGAGGATTTCTAATGCCCAATTAATACCAATCTGCTCCTTACCCACCTCTTTCCTCCCACGTTGAGATGTATAATTTCTCCAGGCTGGGCCACATTTGCCATTTCACACCATCCCAGGAAACCTCAGCCAATCCCCAACTTCCTCAAACAAGTTCATCAAACTTTGGGTGCGTTTTACTCCCGCCCCCTGCCACAAGCGGATTGGCTTCGATCTGTTAAAGGTCGTTCAGGTTTTATTAGATGATTGGTCAGATTAATGATCATTCAAACTTCACCCTCAGTCCCAGGGTACTTTGCATCAGCTTCAATGGCTAGGATCTTTTTTTAAAGGGACATCTCGTCTAGTGTGCCACAATTTCTTAAAGTGACAGGACACTGAGACTAAGTTGTAGAAATACAAGAGAAACAAACAACTCCATTTTTTTCAGAAACAATTGACTCTTGAGTCAACAGGATGTGGCCTGATAAACATTTCCCATTTCGTAATGAGAATGACGGTCATGAAGTAGCCAGCAAATCGACTGCAAGAGAGGACGAAGAGAGAGGAAGAGTCACAGAGCACAGTTTTTAAAGTTTGAGTAAGGATGACTTTGACAGGATGAGGCAAAAATTGACTGAGCAGAAATATTAATGTCTGAAACTGTGATAGATCGTGGGAGTTATTCAGGATGTAAATGGTTGAATACAAGACTTTTACATAATCCTCAAATCAAAATACAGAGGGGGCATGGTTGAGACGAGTAGACAGGAAGAAACCTTCCTCCTTGATGAAGGGATGGATGACTAGGAGACATCAATTTAAGTCAAAGGGCTGGAGGTTTAGAGGGAATGTGAGGAAAATTATCCCGTCCAGAGGGTGCTGGGAATCTGGAACTTACTGTCTGTTAAGGTGTTCAAGGCAGAAATCCTCATAACGTTTAAAAAATATTTAGATGTGCAGTTGTGATGCCCAGGCACGCAAGGCAATGGGCTAAGTTCCTTGGAAAATGGGATTAGAATAGTTGTGTGCTTGTTTTTGACAGACTTGAAGGGCAGTGGGCCATTTTCTGTGCTTTGAACTCTACAATTTTAAAACTCTAAAGAATTATAGAAATCTGGAATGCACTACCTCAAAAAGGTGGGTGAAATTTTAAAATCTTCAAAACAAATTGGCTTCTGTTGGGTAAGGCAATGAAGAATGACAAAACCATAGCAGGTAGATGGAGTTAAGATTTTCAGAGTCAATCTAGTTAAATGCAGGAACAAGCTTCAGGGTTGCACACCTTCCTTCTGTTTCTGAAGACTTAAATGAATCAGATGACTAAGGAAGTTTATTGATGAATTAATTGAATGTCAGACTTTGCTGCATTTCCCTTAGGAAGCAGTCTGTGATGTAATTACATTAACTCCTCAGAGTAGCCAATAATTGAACACTGAAACGGTCTTGAATCAATCTCCTTTTAAATGTGGATTTTATCTGGAAGTACAGACAGTTAATAAATGTCATTAGTTTTTCCACCACAAAATTCTCTTCTGCTCACTCTAATGTCTAAAGGAAACCAACTAATGTCCCTGCTCCTGATTACAGTCTCATGGCTCCTGCATAGGAGTAAGAGAGGAGATCATACAAACTTCTTACATGGGTTAAAAAGAGAGGGGAAAGGTTCCTGCTCCTGCCACTGTCCATTGACCATTGAGTTAGTGAAAGAGAGGAAATCTGGTGATATTGAACTTCATTGCTTTCTGAGTTCTGTTCAGTTAGTCAATGGGTTGAATATTAAGATGAATGTTTTACAAACTAGTAACAGGTACACATTGTAAATTATGTCACAAAACTAAGGTAAAGGTAATATCAACATAGTCCCAGAGGGTACTCTCTAATTAATGAGGGATGACTGGTGGTCCCTTAACCTGAGTGTTACCACATCTCAAATAAGAGGAATGATTAAGATAGAGGGTCCTTCATAGTAACCTCAGCTGGTGCAGGAATTGAACCCAGACCATTAGCATCATTATGCATCACAAGCAAATTGTCCAGCCAATCAAGCTTTGCTGAATGTCAGCATTGCCCAATTCACTTAGAAGCAACCGCATTAAGATCCAGGTATGAGACAGCTCATGGGCTCCTTGTATTTAAACCCCTCTGTGCCATCACCCTTCCTTCTGTAATTTCCTCCAGCACTGCAACCCTCTGCAAAATCTGCACTCCTCCAATCATGGATTCCTATGCATCTCTAAGCATAATTGCTGTAGTATTGGTGATTGAGCCTTAGGAAATGAGAATGGCAGGAATAGGTCATTCAGCCCCTCAAGTTGCCTTACCATTCTAGATTATGGCTGATTATTAACCTCTACACCACATTCACACATTTTCCCCATAGCTCATGATGCCATTAGTAACCAGATATCTATCAATCTCTCTCTCTCAAACTTACTCAATCACTGTGCTTCCACGAGTAGTGAGTTTCAAAGATTTACCAGCCCCTGAGTGAGGAAGTCCTTTTCATTTGGGTTTTTAATGACTTGCCTTTTCTTGAGATATTGCCTCCTGGTTCTAGAACCCCCAGTCAAGGGAAGCATTTCTTTCTGCATCTAATCTGTTTATCCCGTTAAGAATTTTATAAGTTTCTATGAGATCACCTCTCAACTTTCTAAACTTGAGAGAATCCAGGTTCATCTCCCCAATCTTTTCTCATAGGACCATAAAAAGACTATAAGATGCAGGAGCAGAAGTAGGCCCATTGAGTCTGCTCTACCATTTGATCATGGCTGATACATTTCTCAGCCCCATTCTCCTGCCTTCTCCCTGTAACCCTTGATCCCCTTACTAATCAAAAATCTATCTATCCCTGTCTTAAATACACACAATAACTTGGCCTCCACAGTCTTCTATGCCAATGAGTTCCATAGATTCACCATACTCTGGCTGAAGAAATTCCTCCTCAACTCAGTTGTAAAGAGTTGTCCTTTCAGTCTGCAACTGTGCCCTCGGGTGCTAGTCTCTCCTACTAGTGGAAATGTCTTCTCCACATCCACTCTATCCAG